TAATAATATTACAGCGTAAATTTGAAATTCAACTTTATAAACGTATTCCTTCTCTGCACGATGAAACTACTGACTTCTCATATAATCAAGAACGGAAAATAAAGAAATTTCAAAACGTTAATGTTTTCATATTTTATTTTATTTTTTGATACATTGTAGGTTACTCGAATTGAATTGAAACGAAGAGAATTGTATTTATGAATAATGGGTAGGTTGAAACAAATATTGAGTAGGTCAACTGACAGAGAGGAAAATTTGGTTGAAATGTCAGGGATATATATATATATATATATATATATATATATATATATATATATATATATATATATATATATAAATATATATATATATATATATATATATATATATATATATATATATATATATATATATATATATATATATATATATATATATATATATTCATCCTATGTATGGTTCAACAAGTGTAACATAATATTAATATTAAAAAAATTCTACTTAATCCTACGTGGTAAATATAGCCCGCATTTGGTTCAGTTATCCAGTGTCGTATTTCACTGTTTGGTTCTACAGTAGCACGATTATATAGGATCATCTTTTAAATTATATTGCAACAACTATATAAGGAAGCCCATGTTACGTTTTTTGTCTCGATAACATAAGGATGCGTAAATTCACAATGAGTGGCTGGTAAGAACCAGTAAGTCCCGGGAATTAAATAGAATAATCCCCAAGCTTATGCCTTATGTAATACTTAAACTTAAGCAAATATTCAGTTTCAATCGATTTTGAGTTCGTACCGGTGCACTACTTCACTAATTTACTGAATGACCTCAAGTGGAGCAACTGCATAACCCTAGATGAGGACGGGTGGTGGAATATGTGGAATGGGTATATTTAGGATTATTCCTCAGTGAAGGGTGTGTTATGCTAACAGAGATACTAGAATCATGCAGTGGTGCCTCAACGACGTGTTTTGTTTGTTTTAGGCCATTTATCATTTTTTCATTTTTTGGCCAGTTCACTTTACAAATACGATTTTCTTAATGATCGGCTCAATCGTTATAACATAGTCAAACGTTTACGAGAAAAATGAAAGCAAAGTAAAAATATCATGCATATAAACGGATAATTACAAAACTACAAACATAAGAAAATAACAAATTCCTTACCATAAAACGGGTTTGTTCTATGGGACATATTCGCAGTTGCCTTTGCTTTAGGATGCATTTGTTTTATGCAACATGTTTTCGAGATAAACATTTTTCACTCATCATCTTACCCATTTTGTACCCAAGGCAGATGTGGCAGATGAAGTAGAGTTCATCTGTTTTAATGACCTCAGAATGGCATCCAAAGGGAATAGTGTGGTCTGCGCAAAGCCCAGCCACCTTAGTTTCGCTGAGTTGGGTACCCATCAGAGCTGGGTAGACTCGTAGACGTCCTGAAGGCGTTCTAATATATACTTGATTCCTTTTTCAAGCTGCGCCCCGTCGATTGGGGGCATTTGGAGCCTACTTTCGGTTTAAAGAGGCACCCTACAATAGGGACAAGCTGGCACACGACGTTCGATAAATAAATAAAACTAAGAGCATCCCACGATACACTGACACCTGGGTGGTTGGCGATGTATATTCTACTTCACTATTACTGAGGGTGACTAACGTATACTCAAGGCCTCTATACAGCACGCCCAGGAACGTCTGAGCGATAGTGCGGACAAACCCGGGCAAACCCTCGCCATAACAAATATTATCTAAAAAATACAGCACCTGCTTTATTTACATTAAACTAACTCAGTTTTTTTTTAAAACAAAACAAGATCACTCGTCTAAAATTACTCGATGCGGGTCTACGACAAATTCCCGAAAGACACTTGCCCGAATGCCGTTTGCCCGGAGGCCGATTTCCAGAATGGACACTTGCCCGAATGCGACAAATGCCCGAATGGATACTTGCCCGAATGCGACAAAAGCCCAAATGGACACTTGCACGAATGCGACAAATGCCTGAATGGACACTTGCCCGAAGGCCGTTTGCCCGAACAATGTTAATATTATATATTGCCAAACAGTCATTCGTTATCAATTTAAATTTGAAATTATCCCATTAAATACAATAATCCCATAGCTCGAGGATGAGGTATAGATTTAATCATCTCATGTTGAAGTTCGATTACTTGCTAGTACAATCATACCAATTCAGTATATTTTGGGGACGTCTATTCAATCAACTAGAAAACAGCTGCAATAAACAAAAATGGCTGATATCCCTCTCATAGGCTCTTAAGACTGTTTTTATAAATATTTGAAATGGTATTGTGACTCATGCGGATAGAGTATATAAATATTGTTATAAATTAATTCTGTTAAACTCACAGTTCACAGCCAGAGTGTCGGGACTTGAAACTAAAATTTAACGTATGTAACTATTCTATTTTACTGCATTAAATTGTATAATTGTTTTTCTTGATTAGATGATAGAAGGTCACGTTTATTATGGTTGATTTTGTTTGCTTTTTACTTTCTCGTATATACGAAGTATAGAGAAAGTCTTGTAATCGTGCAAAGAAAAATCGAGATTTTTACAAATCTTGAAGTGTTACGCCTCCCTGAGTCGGAAAAACATAGTTTTGCAATCTTGTCCGTATGTCTGTGGGTATGTGTGTCTGTGTGTCTGTGTGTCTGTAAACACGATAACTTGAGTACCGTTACAGCTAGGTTGATGAAATTTCATATATAAGTATTTTATCAAAATCGTTGATCTTTATCGACTTTTGAACGATTTCCGATAACAGGAAGTGGTACTTTTTCTACTTTGAATTTTACAAAAGCCTATAACTTGAGTACTATTTCAGATAGATAAATGAAATTTTATACGTAAGTAAAAGATCTAATCATCTACCCTCTATCACATTTTGAGTAATTTCCGTTGACCGAAAGTACTAATTTACGCTATTTCCGATTTCACAAAAAACGCAGGTAAATTTATAATATTCCGCACTTTTATGCACATTTTGTTTTGGCGTTCGCTTGGTGCGCAAATCTTTTTTCTACGAGATTCTAATCTCTTTTTACAAGCTTTTATTTAACTCACTTCCTCTGTCGTCAGTCTGTCGTCAGTCTTTCTGTCTAGATCGAAACGCCGGAGTGAAAATTCGGACACTTCTACTTGACCGATACGATTCACATTTGGCACGTAGGTCAAGACATGAAGACAATGCAATCTTAAATTAAATTTGACTTAATTGGATGCCTAATTATTTTTTATGAATTAATTAATATTTGGACCGAATTAGTAGGCATGTCTATCCAACCACACCACACGCGTCATCACGTTCAATAGCTGCGCCATCACGTTCAATGGCTGCGCCATCACGCGCAATGGTTTTTAGTCATGTAACTCTATTGTAAAAACTCATAAAAAACGTTTTAATAACAAGCTTTTATGTAATAATGCACTAAAAAGTAGAAAATAAATTATAGACTACTATTTAATAGCGTGGATGTCTTCCTTAACATTAGTAAAGGTATCCAATAGATACTAAAGTGACCCACGCTTTTCTTTATAGTTATTTAAATAGTAGTCTATAATTTATTTTCTACTTTTTAGTGCATTATTACATAAAAGCTTGTTATTAAAACGTTTTTTATGAATTTAAAAAAAAAAGTTTAAGTAATTAAAAATCATGTCTACATTCCGAGTTGCTATCCCACGTAGTGTTACATAAGAATATTCGAGAAAGTTTAGGGGAGATCACTCCCGGTTTAATTATTTCCATAGTGCTATTTATTATTTCAACTAGCACATCTTAGTGGTAGCACGAATATTGCATTACAATGATATCTTCGCAAGTTTTTTAATTTAAAAATTACTTTAGCCCTAAGTTGTGAATTTTTCGTATGCATTCTTCGCACCAAAGGGTATGTTTTTAAATACTCTAATTGGTCGATGATTTCATAATGTTTTTTTTTCAAGTTTAATATTCACCTCAACCTAAGAATGATGAATTTCTTTAAAAGCGCATTGTTCTTTTCTTACACTGTTAATGTTAAATTAATGTACAATTAATGGAAAATGATTAATACTAAATTATTTTAAATTTTCGATATAGTTGTGCATATAAATATTTCAACTTTTTCAAGGTTTTTTTCAGTAGAATAAGTTTCTAGTTAGGGGTGTTTGTAAATTCGAGAGGCGCGGGTGGGCGTGGTAAGGTGTGTAGTAGGGTGTGTTGGGTCGTTATGACACTAAGGGTGTTGGTGTTGGATTGATCTGAAGACAGATCTCTACAGAGGGATGATTGTGTTGATAGTAAACAACACATTTAATAAAATATGTATAAATGAAATTTCATAAACCTAACTGAAACGATATTCAAGATATCGTTTCCACATGCATAGGCCTGTAAAGTTCAAATTTACAGCAAAAAGTATGTTTATAATTAATAATATATTTTTGTGACTAGGCCTCGTCATGATGCTGTTTAAAGGAGTTGTGCTTGTTCTTATTTGTATTCATCTAACTGCAGGCTCGTTCAATGATGACCAATCGGACAAAATGTAAGATACTAGAATTCTAGTTACTTACTCCCCGATAAAGCATTTCTTTAAAAAAAACATTTTCAAAATAGAAAAGGAATATCACCTTCTGATAAAACACGTTATTTCTAAACTAGTAATAAAATATATCATACCTAATTTATTTATTGGATGCATTTAAAACGTTTTTCAACTTGAACCCCCCCCCCCCCTTTTAAGTTTCAATTTGCATCCCCCCCCCCATATTTTTTTTTTTAATTTATAATGCAAAACTGCAGCTAGATTGAGATTTTAATTAGTTTTTCTAACCCATTTTGGTGCCCCTTAAGGTCGGCGCCCGTTGACATATGTATCCTCCCCCCCCCGCCCCCTACTCTCGCTACGCCTCTGATTTTGTTTGTTTTTCTTCCACTACTTATCACTTTAGATTTAATCTTGAATAGCGTTTTTATAATATTGTTAACCTCTCAGACCTGATGAGCCAGCCCAGAAAGGTGAACAACCACAGCAACACACGGACGAGCCAGTAGTAAACTGGAGAAAACGTGCCGTCTTCAACTCTACGATCTACTGGGATTTCAAAATTCCTTATGTCATCGATAGTTCCTACGCTGTACTAGGTAGCCATTGACTAACAATGTGGAGGGGGGGGGGAGGGGAACGGTAAACGAAAAAAGTCACACAAAAAACCCCAGAAAAAGTCAGTTTTTGCTAGGAAAAAAATCACAGAAAAAAAGTCACAAAAGAAAACTTTTATCCAAAAAAAAGCCACAGAAATAAAGTCTCAGAAAAAAATCTCAAAAATATTTCATTAAAGTGTGTGTGTGTGGGGGGGGGGGGGTGGGATGGGAAGGCTGATTACTAGCGCAGAATTATTCTTTCGAATTTTAAATTAATATCAATATTTTGCAATTGTTTCTTGCTTTTATTTTTTAAAAAAAACTGGGTTATCATGTATATGCGATTAAGTAAATGATTTCCATACCTCTACTCTGATCTGTGTGATGCCCAAATACTTACCATCTCATAAGTCGGTAAATACACTTCAGTTTAATCTTGCGACCTCTGTAAGATTGTAGCAAAGAAATCTATTATCTTTTTTACGGGCTCGTGTTTATTTTATAGGCCCCTACTACACGACGATCTTAAAACGTGCGATTCAGTACATCATGGACCACGTTTGTTTAACTTTTGTTGATGAAACAAACAGATGGGACTCCAGCGACCCGAACTGGTTTATAAACAACGGTTACGTGATAAACAAATATATATGGATAAAAAATAATACAGGGTGAGTAGACTTACGTAGTGTGTTAACGTTGTATATCAATTTAAATGATACAGCTAAAGAAGCATTGGATAATCATAATAACTTCAAGATTACTACATAATCTTGTCTATGCTAGCTAGATAAGAAGTGATTCCCCCCCCCCCTTCCTAAAATCTGGTTTCAGCCTTGGTCAACTCATGTAGGCTGGTAATTGCGCTAAAATTACAAACCAATTTGCTGATCACTTGTTGTTCTTTGTCTGTATAGCGAGTTACAAAATGCTATTTGTCTTATACTATGTTTTACAAGAAATAATTATTGTCATTTTAGTTAGAGTTCTGAAACTGTTTTCAATTTTCTAACAAATCAGTCTTTGTTTTTCCAATTTCTTAAAAATTCCCATCAGCGTGTTACCATTTTAATTCAATAGTATCATTTAATTTATATTTTTACATATTATTGTTGTAATCAATATCGATTTTACTACTACTGATGGACATGTATTCATGTTAAGAAATGTTGAGACATTACAGAAAATGTAACACTTTGTTGTTTTTTGCGACATTTAGATGTTATTGTGAGTTCTTCTTTCTTCAAAGATAGACGATAAACTGCTGGTACATTTCACAACTTTATTTACAATAGTAAAATCCACAAAGAATACAGTTCATTCAGTAATCAAACATCCACCGCTCGATATAGCATATATAAATAAAGTGGGTGAATACACAAGATAAAATCACAGGAATTATACTGGATACATCTTAAGTTCTAACAGTCAACACACAAAGCTTCCCCTTACATTCATCTAGGATTCTAGGCGGTCATTTCGAACATCTCATTTACCCCCATTATATAGCCCTACATTCACTCTCTTCAGTCAGTGAGCTATCTCCAAAAACCATTAAAAATACAGTGATTGATCGCTCACGCATTCACTTCCATTGGCCAGGTATTCAACTATCAAAAACGTTTCACTCCAAATACAATTCACCAAATAAAGTCTGTTACAGAAAATAATCGTTATTTTAATTTCTAAGGATTATATTATTCACCTGTTAACTTTGCAGATGTAATGTTGTCGGTAGTGTTGGTATAAACGAAAAGGTGCAAGTCTCTCCATGCTGGGATTTTGTAAGTTTTGAAAAAAAAAGTTATAATAAATATTTACCACAATTTTACTATTCTACTACATATTCAATTTTTTGGTAATAAACAAATAATATTATAGATAATATTCTATTAGACATCAGTCGCATTATTTTTTTTTAAATTGACAGTGGATAAACCTACATGAGATGCTGCACTCGCTTGGTGTTGCACATACGCAACAAGGATATCTAAGTCAAAATTATTTAACACTCAACTTCGACGATATTCAAGACGGTAATTTGTTGTGAATGGTGAAATTGTGTATACCGATCTTACAGCATGTATATTCCTTCATTCTTTCATTCATTAAATGTTTTCATTCTTTTATTAGTTTATTAGTTCATTCGTTCATTCATCTATTCCTCCATTTATTCATTGGCTCTCTCTTCATTTTTTTTTTCATTGGTCCATACTTTCATTCTTTTATTCATTCATTCATTCGTTCGTTAGTCTATTCCTCCATTAATCCATTGTCTCGCTCTTTCTCTCCCTCTCCCCACCCCCACCCTCTCTTTCTCTCTCTTTCGCTCTCTCTCTCTCTCTCTCTCTCTCTCTCTCTCTTCGTTTCGTTCATTCATTTAAATATCTTTGTTATGAGATTAAATCACTGTTGCTTTAAAACGACAGTAAAAAAATATGAATGTAAACGTTTACAAGTACGATTAATAAGACTATGCCACTGTTCCATTTCTGTCATCTTTCAAGAGGATACAGTGAGTTACCTTTACTTTCCCGAACTTGAATCAGCTTGAAACAAAGGACAAGCTATTAACTCTTATCCGTCTAACAAACTACCAGCGAGCTCACGAGTTGTTTTCTTTACAACATGACCACAAAGCCCCATTAGTTAACTATGCGAAAGAGATATTGCATGTAGCTTATTCAGTATACAATACAATATCGAATGTAGTTTACTCATTGTGTCTAATATTCCAACAGGATACCGTGGTGCGTATACGATGTATAGAAATGAATCAGGTTTGCTTGACAAATTTTTCGATCCGACGTCATCGGTCATGTACGGTCTAAGTGTATGTTCAACTTTGTTTTTCTATTTATGTAAAACATGTTTTTTGTATTTATGTAAAACATGTTTTTTCTATTTATGTAAAACGTGTTTTTTGTATTTATGTAAAACGTGTTTTTTTTTTAAGTAACACTTGTTTCTGCTTATCACGATAGCTTTTTGGCTTTTCATCTAACACAGTGGCTCTTGACTCTTAACCTGTGTTCGATGGAACCCCATGGGAGTCAGACTCAAGGGTTCGGAGGGGGGGGGGGGGGTCAAGACGCATGATTCACAATCGTATATTTTCAGTGCCGACGATAGATGTATTAAGAATAGTTTGGTGAATGCGCATAAGAAAATAGTTGGTTTCGGTAGAAACAAAAAGGTTAAGAACCACATATCCTGCAACATGATCTAGCCAGTGAATGCTCATCAGTATAATGAGCTGGTGTTTTAATACAGTTTTCGTGAACAAATCACTGTTTGACCATGGTTAAATAGATAGCAATATTATTGAATTTCGTTTAATGATTGAGATATAATGAGATAATCTATATTTAATAGGTAGTTCGTTGATTTAAATAGAATTAAGATAATGTATATTTATTTCTTGATATTTGATGATTTAGATATAGATAATTAAAATTTATATTTAGTAGCTGGTTTTTCGATGTTTAAATAAAAATAAGATAATGTAAATTTTGTATTTAAATTATCATTTGCTTCTAAATTATAATATGAAATTTTTATTGAAATATAAGTTAACTATTTTTTAAGAAATTTTTGCATAATAGTTAACTTGAAAATACAAAAAGCTTTTATTTTTTTTCTGCTCATAAATAGAATTTATAAATTAATATAAAATCAATAAAAATATTTTTACGTGTTGAGATGTTTAATGATTGCATGGATTAAACTGCCTGATTGCTTGGATGATTCTCAGGAGTTTACCAGAAATGGCAACGAAGCTTACACGCCAATCAGAGACGATCTGTTTAATACGATCACCAAAACCTCTGATGACCAGGCGGACTTTATGCACCTTGTTGACATCCTCAAATGTTCCCGTAAGACCAGTGTATTTCTTATGTCGGGAATGGTAGCTTTAACTATAATACATTATTCCGTTGTAGTTCTGATAAAGACAACGTGTAAGACCAGTGTACTTCTTGTGCAGGGAATGGTAGCTTTAACTTTAGTACATTATTTCGTTGTAGTTCTGATAAAGACAACGTGTAGAAATGTTAATTTATTGCTTATAGAGAACTAGGTGTTTTTGTTTCATATAACCAGTTTCTTCTAGGCATCTCTTCGAAAAAAGTCTACCGCCCCCTCCCCCCCGGAGAAAAGAGTCTGGAAGAAACACTGCATATAACCGTCTAGGAAAAGTTGCCTTCATTTTTCCTGGCAAAAAAAATGCTTTTACTTTAAACAGAAAATTACAGAGCATTATTATTTTTAATAAACTAATGTATTTTGGCCGTTTACAAAGAAATCTTGTAATTCAAATACATAGAAAGATTCTGTGGAGGAAACAATGTCGACTGCGCACCCGGATATTACAGCTACGTGAAAGGCGTCTGCCGATGTGTGTGCCCGGATGAATACGACTTTGCTACAAACTGCAAGACACTGATAAACGGACGTAAGTCGTAGATTTTTCTTAATACATTTTATAGCAATTGATGTTCAAATATGATTAACATGGTTCAAATATTGTGTCATACTTCTTTTATTTTCTGCCTCTTCGTTCTTAATTTTAGTGTTGGAAGAGATATCAACCAACACAATTACGTAAAAAGTATTATGCGCCATATAGTCCGTTGAGTCCGATTTCAGCCTGCTTTTAATTATTTATTTTTTTGGATTTGCTTCCATAGCCTTTGTCCAACCACAAGTTTTTTTGTCCAACTACAAGTTAGCGGTTGTTTAAGTTTGGAGTTTCCTCTCCTAGATGAGTGGCTGTCCCCCGCTATTGAGCCTCGTCTGTCCGGGGTTCGAACTCGGGGCTTTTCGGTTCAGTAACCAAGAGCTTAATAGACCCGACCACGCCAACCTTCTTTAATTATACAATTTGTTACTTAAATTTATTTCAACAGGTTTGGTTATGACTTATTTTTTAAATTTTGAATTCATCATTAGAACACAACTTAATTAGCACATTGTTTTAAATTTATTTCCAGCCTCATCATTAGCTCAATGGCCAAACACACCAATTGTTGTCCTAACCGGCAGTCCCTCGAACAGCTGCCCAACAGGATTCGATCCCACGCCTGGCTGGTTCTCATTTACCGGAACAAACGGCATCACTGTCAACCCCTCCGTCCCCGAGTACTTCCCCAAATTTGGAACCACCAGCAATGTTCCCGTCTGCACCAGAAACTTACCTGCAGGAACCACGGCTGACTGGGAGTCCTGGCCACCTGGTGGTCAATACTGTTTCATTAAACCTGCAGGTGTAAACTGTGGGGGAGGTAGGATTTTGTTTTACATCACATTTGGGGTGTGCTTGTGAGTGCGGATTTGTTTTAGATCATGGTGTTACGTTGTTAACAAATATTTATAACATTTATTAGGATAAAATTAAAAATCAAGCTACTTAAATTTTTTTTTTACAGAATGTTGTTTTGTGAATAGCTTGAGTCTGTTTCCTTTTACTTTTGTGATTTTTTAAAACCGTTAAAAATATAACGACTAAACGGTAAAAAGCCCAATATTCAGCCAGTTCCCGAATTGGCCGGCCTTTTTAGAATCGGTTTAAGCATGTGGAAAATGTCCTATTCGTTGGAAAGTGGTATAGTATCTTTTTTATTACTTTAGCCGGCCACTTCTCGAACTGCCGAGTCATCCCTGGTCATTATTCGGTGTTGGTTGAATTCTGATATCGTTTATGTTATTCCGGAGGCTACTGCATTTTGATTAACGCCTTCCTCTTCTCAATTTTGTATATCCTGACAAGGACAGAGAGCTTACCATGGAAGACAGAAATAGATTGTGCAGTGGTAGATGCTCCCCTTATAAAAACGACAGAGGGGAATCTTTACCCACACAAGAAAAAACGTATATTTTTCCAACATTAATTGAATACCAAACTAAGTAGACCAACCACAGCAGCTTCACTGCACTACTTGATAAATATCGACACAATTATAATTATATGTTGAGGATTTCTTGTGATGTTTACACAAGTTGTTTTTTTTTGAAAACCACAGAGCTAAGTTACCTCTAAAAAGAAAAAAAGCTAGCGAGCAACGTGTATACTGTACAACTTCTGTACTTGGATATATGTATTTACAAAATGACTACCGGGTAGGTTTAAAACTACACAGTCACGCAACCTCAAAGACTAGAGGCAACATTGCTAATGAGGGATATTTGTTTAGGAACTGTTATAAGGAATCGGAATTTGTGAATAAGAATTCAAAATCTCAAGGTAGTCTTCAAAGTTAGGGTGCAAAGATGCCGAAATATTCAGTAGCAGATTTCCACAAAATAAAATCCGTATGCCAATTGATGACAGAGGCCGCAATGATTTTCGGAGCGTTATAGCAGTTGTCATTAAACTCGTGGGCGCTTTCAACGAGCATGGTGTTCTAAAAAAATAAAGTAAGTTTTCCATTCATAGTGATCAAAAAGATAGAAAATCTACTATAGTAAATTAATACGCTGGCTATTGTCCAAAATTAATAGATGAATCAGGTATGTACCTGTCAATATGAGGTGATATTTAACATTGCCCATTGTGTTCGACTTCGGAATATTTTTCGTAGCATACACACACATAAATACACGCACATACATACATACATATATATATATATATATATATATATATATATATATATATATGTCATACCAATACAGCTTTTGAAGAATCAGGAGGAGTTGCACAGTCAACAGTGCCAATTACAACCAACGGTTCTATTGGTGACATCACAGTTGTCAATGGTAACCTGACAATCAAAGTGTGCTGCAGAAATCAGGAACCCTCTGAGCTCCCCATAGATCTTCCAAACGACAAGCCATTTAAGCTGTTATCTTGGGGTCAGAATTGTCCCATTGTTAGAGGTAAACTTTGTTTCGAATTTGACTGTTTTGACAAACTTTGTCCCATTGTTATAGGTAAACTGTTTTTAATTTTTCATTTTTGACTGACTTTGTCCAATTGTTCGATGTAAAGTTTGTTTCTAAGTTTACATTTTTGACTGACTTTGTCCCAATGTAAAATTTGTTTCTATTTTTTTTTTTTTTTTTTTTTTTTTTTTTTGACAAATTTGTCCCATTGTTAGAGGTAAAACTTGTCTTTTTTTACAAACAATATCCTATTAAGCAAAAGAAAACCCCATCTATTTGAGAAATATTTATGTTTACAGCAGAAAATATGTCTATTACTACGAAATAAAACCAAGTACTATTAATATATGCATTAATTCCATACAAACAGCAAAGATAAACCGTACTCCATCTATATTTCTTTGTGAGCCCTAAATAAAGAGATTACATTTCAACTCCCTCCCTCTCTGTCTCTCTGTCTCTCTCTCTCTCTCTCTCTCTCTCTCTATATATATATATATATATATATATATATATATATATATATATATATATATATATATATATATATATATATATACATATATATATATATATATATATATATATATATATATATATATATATATATATATATATATATTTATTTATTTATTTATTTATTTATATATATATATATATATATATATTTATTTATTTATTTATTTATATATATATATATATATATATATATATATATATATATATATATATATATATATATATATATACATGTATATAACCGTTTTTCTAGGAATGAAGGCCTATGTAGCTAAAATAGACTTTTGGACAGATATTAGTGATGTGCTGAACACATCATTTAAACTTTTCTTCTCCTATCCTCACCAACTAACGGCGTATTTGTGCCACTTCCACCCAGGACAGTACGGTAAAAATCTCATCGTTACAGCTAAACGTTTTTGTAAAAATATCATTGTTCCATCTAAATGTTGTTGTAAAAATCTCATTGTTAGATCTAAATGTTGTAAAAATCACATTGTTACATATAATTGTTGTTGTAAAAATCTCATCGTTACATAGATGTGTATGTAGAAACGTCTTCATTACATCCATATGTTGTTGTATAAATCTAATCGTTATATCTATATGTTGTTGTAAAAATCTCATTGTTACATCTATATGTTTTTTTAAAACAATAATTTCCTTTAATGCTAATTAATTTAAAAGTAGTTAATAGAATTGTAATAACCTTTTCTTATCTATAAGGTGTTGATTCAATGTTATATTATAAACGCTAAGAAAACGTCAAAAACCTAGCGTCCAATAAAATCCTTATAAATGTTGAATTATGAACCTGCCAATACATCACATACATAATTTATGCACACTTTAGACCAGTTCTCTGTCCTCGACTTCTTTTCCCCATCTACAGCCAGGTACCCCCTTCAGCTGAGTCTCCTCATGGGCATCCTACAGACTCGCGCCCGTTTTTCGAACTCAGACTTTCGGGCTAGCAATCATGCGAGCAATCATTCAATTACACGTAGCATAAAAATAAACTATTCTTTTTTAATCATTTGGCGGGAGGATGGGGGTGGGGGGGGGGGGGGGTGCGCAGGATTTTTGTCCCTAACCTTGGAGTATGAAGTTATTGTTTGGTAGGATTTATGCCTAAGTGCCTTTACTTTCTCTATTGTGAGTCGGGTATTTGTTATGTTTGGTAAACTCAGGAAAGTCGTTGATAATGTGAACCGGAGACTTTTAGTTCAACTTTGCAATCGTGCGCTGTACCGCACTACATCTCTGTCACGTACAATATATGTGTAGAATGGGTGAGTCGAGGACAGCACTCGTACCTCACCGTGTTGGTTATGTTGCTGAGATTCTTGTACGATTTTTTGTTCCAGGTTGTAATGAGCAGGTAACTCTGGATGGCAACAAGCGCTCTGTGAACATACAGACTCCAACTCTACCTACATTATACAATGAACCGTACCGAAGATGCATTTATGCGTTTAGCGTAAGACTATGCTTACATTTCAATATTAATAGATTTTTTTAATGTTTATAATCTTATATAAATAAGGTTATTATATCCATTAATGTTATATAAAGTTATTTTTGCAATACATAAAAACAGATTTTAGTGTGCGTACCGTTATATTGAGATGGCTATTATAAAATAATTTCTCTTTATGATCAAAATGTTGAGTTTTATGAAAAGTAATTATTAAGTAAATATTATAAGTAATTATTTAAATAACCATTTGAGCATCTTTTGTTTTTCCAAATCCAGATTAATGTATTATTTTCTAAATGATCAGAACATCAGATCATAAGATCATGTATCAATTCGACTACTTTATTTCTTCAACAGGCACCAACATACTCCCAGATTTTGATAACGTTTCACAGATTTAGATTGCATACAAATAACGATGACTTTCTGGTAAAGAGATATCACCCGTGGCAGATGGCTTACAAGTAAGAAATAATTGTGTCAGTATTAGCTTCGTGTAAGTGCTGCTGTCTTTTGCAAGTGGTTTATAGTAGTAAAAATAATAATAAACATACCCATAATCGCATTAGTATATTGATTTCCAAATTTTAAAAAATCCATTTATTTTACATTGGCTATAAAAGTAAATATAAATTATCACTATAAAAAGTAATATCATCAACGGCGTCGCTAGGTCGAGTAATTTCTGAAGCGGTAGCTTAGTGTGTCGCTCCTCGTTTCCTGGTATGTTTCCTTAACGTGTCAGGTATCCATCAGAGCTGGGTGGACTAAATGGCGCCTAAAAGACATGCGCTCGAGATCCGAACTAGTGACTTTCAAGTTATCGGTTGTGAGCTCTACCATTCGGCCACTCCGTCACCTTCACCCCACTGGTTAATATTTCGTATATGTAAAACATTTTTTACTGATTATTTTTTCAGAGTTGATAATTCAAACCCCCCTGCACATATTCTAAGTGAAGGGAACTATCTTTCTGCGGAAGCTTTTCTTGGGAAAACCAGTGAATACTACTACTTTGTCAACTTTACGGCGCAAGTCATACTACGTAGGAGTTGTTTTTTTTTAAAACTTTAGCAGTTTAGAATGGAATTCAAATAAAGCATTCAAGTCAACGCTGAGGCATAGCGGGGGTGGGGTGGGGGGGGGGGGGGGGGCGGGGGTAAATATGTCCACGGGCGCCGACCTTAGGGAGCGCCAAAATTCGTTGTAAAAACAAATTAAAATCTCATTTTAGCTGCAGTTTTGCATTATAGATATAAAAATATATGGGGGTGTAAATTCAAAGTTTGGGGAGGGGGGTGCAAATTGAAAATAGAAAGGTTGTTCCCGATGGGGGGGGGCGCCAAATTGAAAGATTTGTCCCCGGGCGCCGGGAAAGGTCGCTACGTCTCTGAGTCAACGTTTAACACTGTGTTTAATGAACTATATAATATAGACAGAAACATAAGAGTGTAATAATATAGTAGTACTTAATAAGACTTGCCTGCATTTTAGAAAAAGTAGCATTGCAACTTAAATGTCGTAACTGCAATGCTTAATCTTCAAATCACACAAACAAGAATACGAACTTTATTAACACCACTAACACTAACGTGAAAATTTAATTTAATAAATTCCATTCACAAAAACATTAGAGCACGTGTGGTTCTCTCTCTTACTACCCCCCCTCCCCTCTCTCTTTCTCTCTCCCTCCGTTCCTCTTTTCTTCTATTCACTACCTATCTTAGATTTTATATTTGTATCTTAATTAGAGCTCAACTAACCATTACAAAACATTGTTGTGATTAACGTAACATGCCTTTTATTACCCTTAGTGTTGAGCTTAGCAGCATTGTAAATATGATTCACATTACTGAAAAAAACAACAAATAATACGTACTAAGCCGAACCCTAATCTGCAATCTACTACGTACAACTGTTTGACTTATATACATATAACACATTAATTCAATAAAAAAGTTCTCAAAAATTGCCTACATCTATTTTTGCTGTTTTGTACACGTTGTTTGTTTTAATCTATAATACTTAAATGGTCTTACATTCCCCCGACAGCCGAGGACTACTGCTATGATCCTACAACAAATGGCGCGGACTACCGAGGAAAAACTGCCATTTCTGAAACATACGAGCCATGTATAGAGTGGTCAAAGGCTGTCAATTGCTCAAACTTTCCCAAGTATGTAAGCATTTAAATAATAAAACGGAAAAATTAATATATTGCCCCGTGTTTAGTTATTTATCCGCTTATTAGTATATTTTCAAGCTGTTAATGAACAATATCTTATTTGAAAATTAACTTTTTAGGTCAGACCAGATGGCGAACATTTTGTCCGGCAACCAATGTCGTAATCCAGACGGCCGTAGAGGACCTTGGTGCTACACTTACATCAATGGGACCAACTGCAACATTCGTTATTGCGATGCTTGCAATTTCAGTCAGTTTTTCACCTTAAGTTTATGACATCAATAATGCTTTAAATTAACTTTAGATGTGTGTTGTGTCTGAGAGTGTGTGTGTTTGTTTTAGGTGAATGAATTTGAATTGGAAATTATTAAATATATAGTTTCAGTGTGGGTAAGATAACATAACATAAATTGATCTGCAAAATCTTAGGAGAATTTATTTTATATTTGACTGTTATTGCTTGAGACATGAGATAAGCTACAATTTATTTTTAATTTTCCTAAATGTGTAAGTCTACATTTTTTTTCTTCTTCTTCTGCCCGAGGGTTCGATCTCGAGACTTTTTGGTTTAGCAACCATGAGCTTTTATTAACTCGACCAAGCCGACCCCCGAAACTTTTAAATGTTTGAGATTCATGTAATAATTGTATTATTACATTAACTTCATTGTGCCTCTGTTACTTTCAGAGAAGCCAGTTGATTCCAACTCTAAATGCGCCACTCTTGTAAAAAGTACTTCAACCTTCTGCACGTCCGTACAGAGATTTGCCTGTTTTGTTTCCTGCAACTTTACAGTACAGCCTACAACTCGTGGTAAGTTGTTTGGTGGTAACCAAAAGCTTAGGGAAGTGCGATAGAACTTAATACGTGAAATACTTGAAAGATTTTGTCAATTATTATTTGGTAGAACTGTAATCTTACGTGATTTAAAACAATCGGCACTTAAATACAATTTGTGTATTGCAATTCTTATTACAATTTACACTGAACAAGTAAAAATGTATAAAATAAAACATCTTGTTAATACAATTCAGTTTCGATTGTTTGTGGGCCATTTATATAAAACGAGAATCAATATATTATGGCAAGGAGGACTTATTGCACAAAAGAAAAATAGTTTTTAACTATCTTATTCCTGATGAAAATCCTATGTTGCCTAACGTTTTAATAACACGTTTTTATGTAGTAATGCACTAAAATGAAGAAATACATTCGTAGATACTGGTCGATTAGAAGTGGTCAAAATCTCGAACACCAGTTTCGATCCATACGACTGACAGACAGTGGAAGCCAGTTAAATAAAAGCTTGTAATAAAAAAAATAACCTTCAACTTTCTTATTCCTACTGTAAACCGTATGTCTTCTATACAATCCAGCTTCCTGTGGTCCCCCTCCCATCCCCAAAGACGGGAAGGAGACCGAGCCACTGAAATCTTCATACAAGGAAGGCGAAAAGGTCCAGGTCACGTGCACATCGTCTGGTGCCACAGAACTGCCCAGTGACATGTACTGTACCTCATCGGGGTGGACACTTCTAAAATACGCATGCGCAAGTTCGTAAAAAAAAAATCTAATACTTTATGTTGTGCATTGCAAAATTAAGAACTTGTGATTTTTTAAAATCTCTTATAACTATAAGGGAAACACAATTCCATACACACACATACACACACACACACACATATATATATATATATATATATATATATATATATATATATATATATATATATATATATATATATATATATATATATATATATATATATATATATACATATATATATATATATATATATATATATATATATAAATATATATATATATATATATACATATATATATATATATATATATATATATATATATATATATATATATATATATGTGCTATATTTAGACACATGTGAAGACAAAGTGGACACGTGTGAAAGTGTGATGACCGTGACGCCAACTTTCTGCGTTAATCAGAATACTAATGAGACTGCGCGGTCGTCCTGTTCCAAGTCTTGTGGATTCTGTCCATGTAAATAAATTGAATTTATCTACATTTTTTAAAAGACACGTTTTTGCGTATTGTCATTAAAATACTTACAAAATGTAATTAAAAATTATTTTATGTTCAATGCTTTGAATAATCTTATATCTCAATTGACCTTTATTCACATTAAATTAATTAAAGTGAAATTTGTTTTGATATATTTCTACGTTTTTTTACGACCTTTATCAAAATTGGTCTATACAAAACGGTCGATTTCTTGGGATATAGCAAACAACAGATTTTTTTTCCCAGCTGTCGTCTTGACCTGCTCCACCCCCACCAGCACCACCTACACCAGGACGTCTGCTCTAGCTACCATCAAACCAGGTCAGGTCATGACCTTCACCTGCAATGCTGGCCAGTACTACGTGTCAGGAGATCTCAGCAGGGCGTGTTCTATCTCTGGGAACTTGCTGGGAACTGAACCTGTCTGTCAATGTAAAATTGATTTGTGACTAGATTATTATTTCACAATGGTTATTCACTAGTTGTTTTTGTACTACTACACGTATATATTCATTAACTTTTTTTTAATCGAAATTTTTTTTACAGGACTTGTTCAAATTTTCAACATTGTCATGACTTTTTGCAAGCAACACGTTTACATAGAATATTTTGTCTGGTATCTTGTTAAACCATGAAATTACTTTAAATTTTCTAAAGAATTCATATTTTTGTATTCTTATAATGTCTCATTAAGGAAACTTCTTATAAATACAAAGCTAAGGTTTTTATTGTGTTTCACAAACTGTGGTCGACCTGCACCTTTGTAAACGTTTATGTCCATGAAAATTCAGTCACAAAAACTGCTTGTTTTAAGAAGTAATAACAGATTCGACATAACTTTTGTCTTATTCTATAAAACCCAGCAACCCCTGTGCCAAGTGACGTGAACTTGAACTCTGTCAGGAGAAGATCGAACGTCCTACCTGTTAATACAGTTATAATTATAGACAAAGATGGCTACAGGTTAGCTGATCAATATTTGTCTAATGAAATCCAAATTTAAAAAAAAAAATGTAAAACTGCGTTTACACTTGCTACATATAGGTCCTATACTATACACGTCTAGAAAAAAACTCGCAATAATTTAATATTTCGTGAAAACATATTTCCCATTGAATATGTATACTTACTTTTCGCGTGTATATGTATTGTGACCTACTTAGGTCTAGTAATGTTTTATTTTTAGTTTGACATTGTTATAATACCATATATGGTTTGTGGTGCAACCACCGGTTTTTTTCCGCTGTCTTACTAAGAGAGTCTTAGACTCAGAAATTTTCCATCGAGAGATGATTGATTGTTTCAGACCAGATGACCACACCAACCAATGGTCTTATGAGTTGAAGGTGACCTTCCATGTTACCTATATCTATAAATAGATCGCCCACAGGTATCTCGAGGCAGTCCATTTTGGCCAGTTGAATGTGAGAGAGCATAAGTCCTGAGTGTGCTATGTATTATTAAGTTGTTTAAGTATCCTAGTATTATATTACTTGTGGCCAAGTGATTCTTGATGCTATAGCAGTGTTATGTGAACTGTGGCTATTTTTATAAAGTGTTAGAATCTGTGATAGTATTTATTCTTACGCTTTGTAAGTTGGGTTTTGTTATTTCTAAACTAAATATTTTATCTTGTTTAATCTAGTGTTCTGCCACAACTTTGTTCACTTATTAAAAGTTGTATGCAGATTGAATGAGTTGTTAACTTCAATAGTTTCACTAGTTTTCCCTAGACCTCGAAATCGAGCCCTAGTGAGTTGTTGAGTTAGTTTTCATTCATTTAGGCTTTAGGTCATTTGCATATAACCCCAAGAAAGAATCCGGGAGCGTTCACCATCTATCTGGCTGGTAGATAGGTGTCCATTACAGTATACTTACTTTTTTAGACATGTATAATATACATGTAGCCCGTGTAAACGTGATTTTAGTAACACTTCTATTGTTGAGTGATGTTTTGACTTATAACTTAAAGTAAGTTAAATGTGTTCAACTCACAGAATCCCATTCAACGGCAACATAACAACCTGGTACTACTTCTGTCAAACCGCTGGAACTGTGTACTTCACTGTGTACAGGAAAAGTGGGTAAGTGTTTGATTTCTGTAAAACAACATTGTTTATAGTAGTGCACATTAAATGTATAGATTAACTAATATAAAATAGAACCTTTAGAAATAATCGTGTATATATATATATATATATTAATTTTGTATAAGAGGTCCTCGATTCTATATAAAAAAATTAATTGCCCAAGTTAGGGCTTGATTAAAGATTATCCGTTAATTTTTAGAGAGAATGAACGAAATTAAATTTTTCGTATACAAAAATGTATTAATTAAGGAGATTTCCCAAGAATTTGAACTATTTCTGAAAATATTGAATCCAGTATTTTTACGAATTGTTCTGAATACTTGACTACAGGACGGATTTATTTTACTGTCTCCTACAGAACCACATACTCTCTAGTGGGCTACAACACCGTGAGCTGCTCAGCTGACTTCAAGTGGGGTTCGGACATAGCAGCTGCCAGCCAGATCGCCGTTCTGAAGGACGACATCATCGGAGCGTTTACACTGACCTCCAGCACGCTCAGCGTCAACATCTGTTCAAAAAGTGTGGAGAAGATCATGGTCCTGCCTGTCGCCACCAACGTAGGTGGCGCCACCAGCCTGTCCTCGGCCAAGTTCACCACTACAGCCTGCTATATTATGTCGTTAGGGTGTAGGGTCATTCCAGGTAGGTGTGGCGCAAGGGGTAACTAGGGTGAAGCGCATGTGGCCTAGGATATATCAGCTAGATCAATACTTAAAGATTAATTGTTGCCAAAATATGCTTGATTACTAAGTTTAATTTAGTGTTAAGATTACTTTCTCCCAAGAAGTAAATATTAAAGTATCTAACTAATTATTCTAATTTTTAAAAAAAAACGAAATGTTTTATATGGTTGTTACAAAGAAATACATGTTGTATTTTGCATTCATTGTAAAGATAAACACAAACTGGAGCAGCAACAACCGTTTAATTTGTTTTGACACAAGAATTGCTTAAACACGTTTAGCGCTAGGGTCTATATCTGCTTTATTTTTTCTTTTCAGCTTAATGTTTCAAGTCACCTTGGTAACCATATAATTTGACCACAATGAAGACTTTAATATGTAAATTATTAACTAGAAAATAAAAATAAAAAGTAAAAATAAGGTTTTGATTTTTGTTTCAACGTGCACAATTTTAATCAAATAGAAGAGAAGAACCAAAGTTCTGGATGTTCCTCATTAAAAGTAAACACGTCCGAAAAGTTATAAAGTTTGTGTCGTTTAAACCTCTAAGCCGAAAAGTTATGAAGTATGCGTCGGTTAATGTTCTAAGATAAAATGTTCGTACTTATGGTAGTCATCCTATCCGTGGTATATTGACAAGAGTTTCTTTAAGGTTCACGGGGTTTCTGAGTTCGAGTCTAATTGAACCAGCTGCGACTAAGTTGTATCATCGCTTCACGCAAACGTGAACAAACGTGACCAGAATCTAAAAATAGACAGGCTTTATGAAATCCTGAGAGCCACACTCTCCTTTGATATATCGGGATAACAGATGATCGCCACGTGTCAGCTCTAGGTTGGTTTAGAACTATCTTTCATCTTGTGCATTAATAACAGACACACGTTATAAAATCCTCTATTATTGTATTGCAATGAGGTAATCTGATTAGCAGCAGATTTAATTTCCCCAAAGACAAAAAACCACGACATACTGACGTCAGCACTGAGGGATACAACTAAAGGACCACAATATTTCCATAATTTAATTAGTATATTTCACCAGACATTTTATAGAACAACATTTAAGATTGTTATGTGTGTGATTTAAAACACCGACTGTTCTTATCAGTTGCATAAACTAAATGAACTTTCTTCTGAAATCAGAACAAAATTTACAGTTTAGGGGACGGTCAACCTCATGGTTGCTAACCAGAAAAGTTCCGAGTTCGAACCCCCCGGGCAGAAAAGGTTCCAAATGACAGCAATACATCTAGTAGGGGTAAAAAGTCCAAAATTAAATAACTGTTTGTTGTTTGTTTTCGGGTGAACAAAGGATATGGAAGAAAATACAAAAGATCCAAAAAAAAAAAGAAAATATAATGTTGAAAAGCTCTAATCTATCCCAATATTGATATGTAAAAAGAAATTTTTTTACCACAACATTGGTATAGTTTGTTTAGAGCATCGTGTATTTGGACTTAGTCCAATAATCCGACAGTGTTTAAAGAAAATCTGATAATCTGTTACAAACAAGTTATATATTGTTAAATCATTCAAAAACTATTCAAAGATTTATTCATATCGTGAATTATTGGCGGCCATTTGATGTAAACGTGTGCAATGCAAAATTCAGCTCAAGTATACCTTCTTACTAACTTATAAATCATTCAAAATAATAAAAATTGTACACAAAAATTTTACTCAAATAGTAAATTATTGACATAAAATTATTGTAAGATAAAGTACGCAATGCAGAATTCGGCTAAATTACAGAACTTGAAATGTCCAAGCTCAGATGAGTGGATGATTTGGAGACAGACCATTGCAGTTTAGAGTCCAGAAATAGAAGAAAAAAGAAAGTAACCTGATTGAAAGAAGGTGGTAAGTCAGACCGAACCCCCCCCCCCCCCTCTCCATTTATAATTCTGCCGATTTTCTCTTCATTAGCTGGTTGTTTGTTAGGGATTTCTCACGTCATTCTAACTTAGCCCAGAACCTGCTACAGATTGCTATTGCTTATTCGTGTCGAAAAGTCCAAATGCCGATATGCCATAATAAACGCGCTATCAGCTGCTATATCTGATTGAAACAGCGCAATCATTACTTTCTTGTTGTATTTATGAGTTTCCATTACATGTTGTGTAGTTTCATCATTTAATATACAAGGTTTTTATTAGGCATTTAGGCTGTAAAACCACAAACCCTGCAATGTGTACCTGAAAACCTTCTTTGCTTTCAAAATTATGTCCATTAATTAACCAAGTTACAAAAGATGGAGAGTCCTAATATAAGCTGTAACAATTTTAACTGGGGCCCAAGACAAATAACTCCATAGAACCTCATACGTTGGAGAAAACAAGACAGGTAACTCATGCTGTAAAGTGTGTATCTCGTGTATCATTTACTTCATCCTTACTCGCCGTTGTTTTGTAATCAACGTTTTGAAAACGAGGTATGTACTCTCTACTTTGTATGGGAACGGCGTGGCCTAGCGGTAGAGTGCTAGACATCTAGCCCAAAAGTCTCGATTTCGAATCTTAGTTCAAGTCAGTTGAAAGTCTCTCAGTCCATCCAGCTTTAATGAGTACCTAACTCAAGTTAGGGAAAGTAAAGGCGGCTGAGCTTAATGCTGACAACATATACTAAGATCACAGAAACAGGTGAACTCTACATCACTTGTTCCATGGACAGTCATGTTTGGAGAAAGAAACTTTATTTCTTTTCATAAAGCTTCTTGTTTTTATACATAATAACACTGTTCTTGACAAGCGTGTGGTCTACTGTTAGACCAAGCTATCCCACAGAAAGGGCATCTATCGTGTTCTCCATCTAAATATGATGTTGGTTGGCGTTTTGTGAGCACTGGAAGTGGCTGCTGACTTATTATTGTCATTAACCATCTACTTCAACATTTCAACACATTATGCAGTAACTTATTATTTAGTGTTGTATTAAACGTTATTTTATTCTTTAAAAATATAGCTGTCATTTCTATTTAGAGTGTTACTACGCATTAGTTTAATTTGCATGAATTATAAAAATTATTGCCTCGGTTTTCGTCGATTTAGGATTAAGCTTCTAGTTACTGATGAAACATCGTCGAAAACCGAGGTTCCAATGTATTTTTCTCCTACTGAACAGAATGTTGGTTCAGCAAACTGTAACGATCCTGCTATTTTTCACACTGGCTCCGGACAAATCAAACACTGCAGGTACACCAGGCTACATGGAAGAGTCGTACCTGCAGTTTCCTTACGATAAGAGAGAGGCTGACATACAACCTGTGCTGAAATCTCAACTTGGAATGAAGTCCCGCCTGTAAATATATCTCCAGAAATATTTTGATGAACGTTTAATTTCGAACACAATGAATAATTAAAACAATATAAAACTGTTGTTTTAATTAGAAGATTAATTATTATTTTACGGGTGATGCTAAACAAACCCTGGGTTGATTTTTTTTTTCATTTTGACGTCAAACAAATCAACAATGTTTTATTGATTGATTTTATTTTCAAATACTCACTGTGTTCAATTTGATTAGGCATTCTAGTTTTATTCAACAAAATAAAACAACAAAAATGGACACTTAAAGATTAATTATTGAGTTTCTTCGGTGTAGTTATTTTTCTGATAGTTTTATCTTGAAGAGGTAATATTTCTTTCAATATTTTATTGAATATTTACTACTAGTTATTTGTTTCGATTCTCTTTGATTTCAGGCCTGGTGATCGTGTCAAACATCAGGAACCAGCAGGAATACAATCAACAATAAGGAAACGTGCAGTCCAAAACTACACGTTAAAATGGGATTATCGAATTCCTTACGTCATCGACGATTCCTTCACGTCATTAGGTAGACAATAAAATAACACTTTCAGGTCGAATTCTGAATCAATAAACCATAGTCTTTAAACTATAAAACAATATATTTTAATGATTAGCTTTTTTCAAGCTTTTAATTTTGAACGTCATTCCCCAAAACCCAAATGGATTAAAGTGTTTACTTATTTTACCATTTTTTAAATTAGTGCATTCAATCGGTTCTTTTATTTCAAATTGATTCGTATATTCTTACCCTTACTACATGCCGCGAACTCTGACCTTTATTTCTCAGGTGTCTCCTCTATGTGGCAGTTTAAACGTGCCATTCAGTACATCATGGACCGTGTCTGCTGACGTTTGTTGATGAAACCAGCAGATGGAACTCTAGTGACCCGAAATGGTTTTCGAATAACGGTTACACGTCAAACAATTACATTTATGTCAATCAAACTTCCGGGTAAGATTATAGCTATTATAGCTGATTAATAGGTGGTCGGTTGGTAGTGTGTATGACTGCACACTCTAAAAGTCCCGAGTTCGGACCCACGCGGCGTAGATGAGGCTTGTTAGTAAGACATAAAAAAAAACTGCTTCCTTGCATATTGCTCTTGAGTAAATAAAACGAATATATAGCAGATACAAAAAGAGAGTTAATTTTAAATTTGATACTACTTTATCTACAGGATTTTATTAATAATGGTTCAATTAAAGTTATTACTTTATTTACTTTATTGTGTCTGTAAAAAAATTAATAAACAGATTAATTTAAAATTTAATATTATTTATCTTCTAAAAGTCAATAAATAAAAAATAAATATAACATAAAATATTTTTTAACATAAGATAATGTTTAATTAAAAGGCCAATCTTAACAAAGGTATATATAAACTTTGCAGGTGTGAGGTGGGGGGGAGTGTCAGATCTAAATGGATCTAAAAAAGTCCGGGTCTCCCCTTGCACAGGTTTTGTAAGTTGTATTAATATATATGTATATATATATATATATATATATATATATATATATATATATATATATATATATATATATATATATATATATATATATATATATATATATATATAGTAGTATGAGAATGGACTCAATATCTAGATAGCTATCGTTTTCAGGAACTTATATCCATATTATAAGAAACTCTTTTGATTTTTTGTGGGCCGATGAACGATAATATATATAATAAAATAATTATACAATCGTGGTTACCAGAAGAAACGTTTCATTATTAACTACCTATTGTCAAGCCACTTTTAAATGAGTCTAGGCTCTACTAAATTATCATATATATATATATATATATACATTCAAGCATTAACTCAATCCCCAGTGGATAAATCTGCATGAGATGTTGCACGCCATATTTGTCCAGCATATGCAGCAAGGTTACCTCAGTCAGAATTACATAACAATCAACCAGGATGATATCCTAGAAAGTAATTTATGTTCTACTTAACAGTCTATTTATTGTACTATTTTGCTTATTTAACTTACATTCTTAAGTGTGGGAAGTGCCACACACACACACATATATATATATTTATATATATATATATATATATATATATATATATATATATATATATATATATATATATATATATATATATATATACAAATATATATACAAATATATATATATATATATATATATATATATATATATATATATATATATATATATATATATATATATATACAAATATATATACAAATATATATATACAAATATATATATATATATATATATATATGTGTGTGTGTGTGTGTGTGTGTGTGTGTGTGTGGTCATTTAAGCGCCTGCTTTGTGTAATCATTAATTCAACCCCCTTTCAACAGAATATCTGGATACTTACAATACGATTTTAAAGGAGTCCGGCTTGATTAACTTGTTTTTTGACCCGTCTTCGCCGGTGATGTATACAATCGCGGTATGTTCAACTTTTTAAATGATATCAACCCAACTTATTTTTTGTATACAATCTTTGATATTTATTTAAATTTTCAGCTAAATGCGTTTGAATTTACAGCACTATAACATGATTTTATGAAGGTATACGTTAAATGATTTTTTGTTCAATTTGGAAAATATTAGTGTAAAATTGAAACAAAAATATTTTTTTTAAGTAGCCTTTTTTAGGGCAGGCGAAGTAGAGTTGACCTGTATCAGTGTCATTGGTGTATGAAATGATAGCGTGGTCAGCTGTGCTACTTTCCCTAACCCGTCATATACCAATCAGAGGGATGGACTCGGGATCCGAACTCGACACTTTTGGGTTAGCAGTCGAGCTCTCTAACATCGAACTCTACCATTTCATCTATTATTACTTACTTACTTAATGAATCAATCGATGGATGATTTAATTGATTTTCAGGAATGGAATAAAAACGGTAATGAAGCCTACACGCCAATAAGGGACGACCTGTTCAATACAATCACAGATTCATCCAATGACGACGTCGATTTTATGGAAGTTGTTCAAACATTTCAATGTGCAAGTTAGTCAAAGATATTTTTCTTCTGACCCTAATAAATTACAATTGTTTTGCAAAGCAAATGCTAATACGTTTGAAAATACAACCCTATAAACGTATTAAGATAGTGGAATGTGATATCGAGTAAATGTTTTAAAATCAGGAAAAACGTGTACACATAGTTTAGGAAATTATACTGAATAGTATCAACAAAGTAAAAAAATGTAGGTACTATTGCATAAATAGATTAATAATAAGCTTAAGTAAGGAATAATACGTTAATAACCAAGAAATATTTTTGTAAACATACTTTCAATTGTAAACTTTATATCAGTAGCTTATTTCTTAAATAAACTTTTAAAGTCCTTTAAGAAAGTTTGCTTTTACTTTAAGCAGAATATTACATATTGTTTTTTGATAAAGTATTCTTGGCAATTTACATTAGAAATGTTGATATATATATATATATATATATATATATATATATATATATATATATATATATATATATATATACATTATATGTCAATATATATAGAACAATTCTGTGGCGGAAACAATGTTGACTGCGCACCCGGATATTACAGCTACGTGAAAGGCGTCTGCCGATGTGTGTGCCCGGATGAATACGACTTTGCTACAAACTGCAAGACACTTATAAACGGACGTAAGTTTTGGTTTTAATTATTACGATCCTCTGATATTTAAATGCAATTTGTTTTTTAATATATTTTTTTAATTACGGGCTATTGTTTAATTTGTGAAAACGAACATTATGAGCATGAATTTTAGATAGCACTAGACTACCCGTCATCCCTTGGATAACTGTGGGTTTCGGGGGTCGTCCATAAATGACATCACATCTGTCGCTTATCGTCACACAAAAAAGATTCCACATTCAAAAAGACGTCACACCTCAGGCGTTTTTGTTTTTTAAAAACACCTAATTTGGCTGATCATAGGTCTGACCACACTATCCCTTTATATGCTGAGGTCACAAAAACAAAAACACTCACCAGTGTCCCCCAACTCAGACATGTTTTTGTCATTTTCTTCCAGGTTTTAGTAGTATATAGATGTTGCATAACATTTTGTACTTCAAAACCAGTTTAAACAGAAATAACTTAAATTTCACTCTATTTTCAGCATCACCAACAGCAAAATGGCCGAACACACCAATGGTCGTCTTTGCTGGAGGACCCTCTCACAGCTGCCCAACAGGATTCGATCCCACACCTGGCTGGTTCTCCTACACCGGGACCAATCCCATTAGTCTCAATGAGGCTCCACCGCAGCTGTTCCCCAGGAACAACAACACCAGCTACGTTCCCGTCTGCACCAGAAACTTACCTGCAGGAACCACACCTGACTGGGAGTCCTGGCCACCTGGCGGCGTTTATTGCGTCATTAAATCTGTCAATGTTACCTGTGGGGCAGGTGGGTGGTGGTAAATGACTATTAGCGAGTATTAGTTTACAATGGTTTTATCATTTTATCAGCACATATTTTTTTATTCTTATGATTTGGATATATAATCTAATTTTATTCTAAAGGTAAAATATCTGTTAGAAGCATGTTTCTTTTTACTTTGGGCTGTGCATTGAATGATGGTCTAATTAAAATCTAAAGTATTCTACAATTAGGCAAATGTTTATTTCTATGTCTCTCTGTCTCTCTCTCTCTCTGTCTCTCTCTTTCTCTCTCTATGTACATGTATATATAGCTAGGTATATATATATATATATATATATATATATATATATATATATATATATATATATATATATATATATGTATATAGTATTATATAGTTATATATATATATATCTAGTTTTATTTAAAATAATATATATAACAAATATATATATGTATATATATATATGTATATATATATATATATATATCAAACAGGCTTTGTAGAGTCAGGAGGGGTGGCTCAGTCCTATGGGTTAATTACAACCAACGGTTCTATTGGTGACATCACTGTTGTCAAAAATAACCTGACAATCAAAGTGTGCTGCAGAAATCAGGAACCTGACAAGCTCCCGATCGATCTACCTGACGACAAGCCTTTCAGACTACTTACAGGAGGCGACAGCTGTCCCATCATTAAAGGTAAAAGTTATCAAATCTTTCATCCTGTTCAATCTTCCATGTCAATAATTTATTGTAATCACAGCAATTTTGAAAAAAAAAGAATGAACAGTAATGACAAAACTTGTATACGGTATTAAAACGTAAGGTAGGAGGACCTCGCGGTCGAGTGGATGAGCGTTTGACAGTTAGTCTGAAGGTCTCAGGTTCGGATCTCGGTCCTGACTCGTGACGGTTGGACTTCCCTAAGTCCACCCAGCGTTACGAAATTTACATGTACAAGTAGGATGGGGTGGCGGCTTGACAACTAATCTCAGACAAAATATCTTATATATATATATATATATATATATATATATATATATATATATATATATATATATATATATTAAGAATTATGATTTGTTGATACTTTGCAATATTCAAAGGGATGAAAGCCTATTTTAGCCGGATGAACTTGTGGACTGATGTAAGTGGTGAATTGAGCGCGAATTATCAGGCTTTCTTTTCAAAGAGTCAACAGCTGATCACCTCTTTATGTTACTACCAACTAGCGGTGTACGGTAAAATATATTTTACTTAATCAAAATTGAAATACGGAAAGTCTTAAAATTGTGTGCCAAAGCTGTTTAACTGAAGGGAAATAACTCTTGTAGGTTGTAATCAGCTGGTAACTCTGGATGCTAACAACCGTGCTGTTACCATACAAACTCCAACTCAAACTAACGGAGTTAGGGAACCTTACAGGCGATGCATATACGCTTTTAATGTAAGAGATTTTTATTTATTTATTTATTTTTATTTATGTATTTAGTTTTGACTGAGCATTTAATAACTGTAGGTTTAAACTTCTTCTTCTTCGTTCTTAATTGAGAATATGGTGGAGGATTTAGACAACAAGTCCAACTTTGTGAATAAACCGCACTGTGGTCTCCAGATCAGCAGGTGCCCCATATAATTTTTCCCTGAGCAGGGGCCAGTGTCTGACTGTAGGTTTATACAAGTTTAATAAAAAAAATTCCTGGTCTTTGATTAGAACAAACTGTTGAAAATATAGGATTGGTCATTGAAAATTGTAAACAGCATCAGCTCACTACTTAAAAATCTTCGATTTTACTATTTTATACCAAATGTTAGCTCTCATTAAATAACGACTGCGTTGTATAATCAATTATCGTATTAATCTATTTCCATTCCCATTGCTAATTTTGTATTACGTTTTATTTGGTATCGTTCTTTTTGCTTTAAGGAAACTGATTTATATTGTTGGCATGGAATTCTTTTTAAATGTGTTTTTGAACACTTCAACTTATGATTATCCGTACAAAAATGATTAAAAAAACATACTTGAAAAAATATAGAATTGAACATCAATAGAAAAAATCAATAGAAAAAATTTTGGAATAGATTTTACATTGAAGGCAACATTTCTATTTCAATATACACTTCTCTTACTCATTTCTCACGAGTATTTCATTCTTTGCATTTTGAAATAGACCATTACTTCATTGCGCTTTATTATACTTATGAACGTCAGTATGGTCTAGTTTGGCCGTAACTTGTATTTACCATTTGACGTGAATACATTAACTGAAAATAGCAGAAACAAGTACGTCCAACCTGAAGAAATTATAGACAAAAAACTATACAAACACGTTTGTATATTCACGCATGTTTTAAAAGAACTGCAGACTAATTTTGAAATAAAACCTACAATCGGCCATTTGAGTTTATTTATGATAATTTGTTTAAATACCTTATAAACGTAAACTATAGCAGATATACTTAAATCAGTATTGTTCACTATTAAAACAGTATTGCACGCTGAGATAGTGTTGATGGTGAATATCACTCCGTTATTTCTTTCATAGGCACCAAACAATTCACAGATTTTGATAAGTTTTAACAAATATCAATTACATACCCGTAACGATGACTTTCTGGTTAAAAGATATCACCCATGGCAGGCAGCTTATAGGTAAGAAAGAAACTAAATTATACTTTAAACGTTTTTTAACAAAGTAATACTAGCTTATGCTTGTTGATTAGCGGTAAAACAATGCATTTTGTGATTGCGTTATCTGTAAACATCGATATACTAAGTTACCAACAATGTGTTTATGTTAGCAGAGAAATATACACAATTATACAATTTCTTTCTACAATTACTACACTTTTGTAAGATTAGTAAGAATTACTAAAAAATATAGTCAGGTGGAAATAATTTTAAAATTAAACAATACTTCAAGCGACAACAAAATGACCAATATGTTTAAAAATATAGAATCATCGTTAATTATTTTTACCTTTTAGATTAGATAATACCAAACCCCCAAAGCAAATTATAAGTGAAACTAACTACCTTTCGGCTGAAGCGTTTATTGGATCCAACAATGATACCTACTTCGGAGTCAACTTTACAGCACAAGTCATATTACGTAATTTCTTTTTTACGTTCATAGTTGGTCTAAAGTAAACTTACTCTAAGACAATGTTATTTTACTTTAAAGATACATATTCGGTAAAATATATCAACCCCACAATAGAAACAGATATGTTTATACATGTTCTGTTCTGTTAGACCTCTACCCTCTATTTCATATAAATCTTTGTTTAACCTAGTTGGTCTAAAATAAGCTTACTTTAAGACAATACCATCTTACTTTAGAGATACATATAAAGTTTGATGTATTATTAGAAACAAATTTGTTCACGCTTAGGTTCTGATATGTTAGAATTCTTCCCTCTATTTCATACTAATTTTGTTTTTAACCCAAACACTTGGAAAAAATTTGACTCTAGTGACAGTGAATCATAACCATATTTTTACACTAAGCTATGCAAATGTACTACAAATGCACAAAATATTAATAAAACCTAAATTAATTAAATTCGAGGGTTGTTATTTTCCCACAGCTGAAGACTACTGCTATGATGCTACAACGAATGGCGCCGACTACCGAGGACAAACTGCCATTTCTGAAACATACGAGCCCTGTATAGAGTGGTCAAAGGCTGTCAACTGCTCAAACTTTCCTAAGTATGTAAACCTTTGAATAACAAAACTGGATGTACACGCTTCTGTGATTGATTATTTTGTCCCTTTGATCTCTCAGGTTTTAAAATCAATCTCAGTTAATTTTTAATATCAATAAACTGAATAGTTGTTCTAAAATATAGAAAGGCATACATTCATATTATCGCATAGTGTGTGCACAAGTATCAATAATTGAGAGAGAGACATTTATTGTATAATACACAAAATACTAAAGCATTTAATGTATATGCATGATGGGTTTATTTTTATTTATTTTTCAATAACTGAGAGAAAGCCATTTATTGCATAAAACACAAAATATGAAAGCATTTAATGTATTTTCATGATGAGTTTATTTTTAATTTTTAATTTATTCATTTTTTCCTTTTGCTAATTATTTGAATTTTCTGAATTTCTTTTTATTCTCTGGTATAACGATTCTCACTTTACTAGCATTTTTGTAGTAAAATATGTCAATTTCATTCCTAGGGCTGACCAGATAGCAAACATTTTGTCTGGCAACCAATGTCGTAATCCAGACGGCCGTAGAGGACCTTGGTGCTACACTTACATCAATGGCACCAACTGCAACATTCGTTACTGCGATGCTTGCAATTTTCGTACGTTGTTTACATTTTAGCTGAAGTGGGAAATATTTAGAATCTTTTTTTTCTCAGGAAGATCATATTAATTATTATAGCCAATACAATGGGAATCTTTCAATCGGGCGAATTACTGCTGTGCCCCTTTTCTTGTTAGCTCGTTAGTTTTAAGTCGCAGAGAACCTTACTGTCATTGGTTGAAGATACTCTTTGAACATTGTGGGCGTGGCGCATTCGTGACTTATGATAAGATTAGTTATCCGGACAAGCAGAGGTGGGCAGGGCCGTCGGGACACCAGAAAAAAAAATCCAATGCTCCGCCACCATAAGTGCTTGAAATGAATGTGCATATTGCTTATTTATTAACCTTTCCCGTTGGTCGTGCTATTATTAGCCTATATTGCCATTTTTGAAAATGTCACACGACTTTCTAGGCAGCGCACCTCGGGTTAGGATTTGAGAGAAAAAAATATTACACTCTGGAAACTAAATTCGAGAAGGCTCCGTTTTAGTTATTGGACACAGCCAATTCATCCCTGCGAACAAGCCTTATATTTGTAATCTCAGTTTAATTTTGTCACGGTTTCATCTTGCCCTTCGGTGAAGCCAGTCGATGAATTATATTTCTAATCCCAGTTTAATTTTGTAAATGTTTCAAATTGCGATGGATTATATTTCTAATCCCAGTTTAATTTTGTTACTGCTTCATATTGCAATGAATTATTTTTGTAATCTCAGTAAAATTTTGTAATTGTTTCATATTGCGATGAATTATTTTTATAATCTCAGTTTAATTTTGTCACTGTTTCATCTTGCCCTACAGTGAAGCCACTGCATGAATTATCTTTGTAATCTCAGTTTAATTTTGTCACTGTTTCATATTGCGATGAATTA